CAGCTCAATGGCAGCTACAAGGCTCAATGCTTGCGTATGTATGGCTCTAATATGCTCAAAAAACTATGAATTAATGTGCCACAGCCAACATCTCAAACATGGGAAGGGTGAGCCCAGAAGGACTTAAAATGGATAAATACAAGTCTGAACCTATGCTGAGTCCCTAAGATTTTAAAATTGTCTACTTTCCAAGATCAACTAATAGATTAATGGCAGACCTGAGTTACTGCTCATTCTTTTCTGTTACTACTAGACTAGCTTTTGCTGAATTACAGAATATAAATCCTTTTGTATTTTAAAGTGGTTTATGGAGGTCCATGGTGGGAGCGCAAAGTGACACTGCTTTAATTTTGAAAACCCATGCAGTGGTACTTACTGGGATCTTGTAATAGCTGGGCTGCAATTGAAACACGACGCCTCTCACCCCCAGAAATTCCTACAAAAATACGGCTTCCAATTATTTTGTCAGCAATGTGGCTGAGACTCAGCTCAGCCATAACCGCATCTACCTGAAAAATAATTACAATATAGAAAGACTAAACACAGTCCAACTCAGATACCTGCGTGCAAAATGAAAAAATGAAAGGAAAAAAGACATAATTTTAATTTAATTTTGAATGGCTTTCCCAATATGCTGCTTGCATCCATTCTACTTGTAAGGTATCTGGTCTCATTTCTATTTGGTTATTTTTAATATATTATTTCAATTATTATTTTTTAAATTTTATTTTCATTTATTCTGAAATGAGTAGAATTTTAGCTTCAGTTGACATTAAGAGATGAAGAGTTCAGAGGTGGGACTAGAAGTTAAGGTATGAAGCATAGTGTGCTGGTCTGGCTTCCAAAATAAGGGAGCAGAAAGGCACCTCAGTTCTGGGGATGTATAAAATACTGAGTGAAAGATAGGTGAAGAGAGAAGACAGAGAGCGAGAGCCCTTGGTCAGGAATATCCAATCTTTACTCTCAACAGAGGCCAAAAAGAGTGCTTTAATAGCTCTGAAACACACCTATTTTATCAAGGAAGTAGTTTGTAGGGGGCTTATTAGACCAGTGCTTTTCGAAGCTGTTCTGGTTAGTGAGAGACGTCCTACAGGGGCCAGAGTAGTGTCAGTCACCTCTGCTGTCCATGAGACTTGCCAGCACGCATAGCCGTAAACACCCCAGAGAACTGGGTTTCCCAGCTGGGGAAGGGGAACTGACCTCGATACCAATAGCGGCACCTCCTGCAGCAGTAACTGCTGCAGCTTTGGGCGGGAGAGTTTTGTCCCAGCATAGCAGTGATTCCCTAGGGCATCAGCACAATCCCCTTGCACAGGCGGGGAGCAACAGAGAGCTTGTGTCCTACTCCTCAGCAGGAGGATTTCTCCCCATTTGCAGAATGAGGATTACAAAACCTTATAAACGTAAAACACAGCCATGGATGGAAAATGCTGCTGGTGAAAGCATTACATGACATCATGTCTGCCTTTCTGGTGGAAGATGATAAAATACAGACCTTCTTTTTGATGAAGTCATTGGAGCGTTTCTGAAGAGTTAGCAAAGCAGTGTAGGTCAGCGACTCTTGTATGGTGAGGAAGCTTAACAAAGTGTCACTCTGGAAAAAAAGAGTGAAAAGGAAGAAGCAGTTAGTCCTGTAGTAAATAAGATCTTGCCCCTGCTCGCACAACTTTCATTCATTCATACAATTTATTAACCTCTTTGTACCAAAGTTACCAGTAAAATCACAGTCAGATTACATTACTCCGTCACACTAGCAACTTTACTTTCTTTACATGAGAGGAAGCACAGTGCACAAAAATAAATGTAGAAATCAACCTGTGGCACATAAGAGAAGCAATCTCTAAACTGTTCCTTCTTCAGCTGACGCCCATTCACATACACTTCACCAAAGAAGTTGTCTTTATGTCCCAGTCTTCCTGATATTGCATCCAGAAGTGTTGTTTTCCCAGATCCTTTCAAACAAAAGAAATTAATCATGTGATGAGATGAATTTTGTGATTTCAAGAGCGGTAGCCTGTCTTGGATGGAGATGTATGAAAAAAATAAAGCATTTTTTTTCTCAGTAACATTAAAATAATAGGTCCTGAAAATGCAGCTAGTTAAGGGGAAGTAAATAGGAAATCTAGAATGTGTGTAAATTAGCATTTAATTCATACAAATTCACACTTGATAGTGAAACATTTGGGTTTAGAAGTAACCTTATCTTTTACTGAAGTTATAATTGTTAGTTAGATGACAAGATTGAACTCGGAAAACCAAGTGCCACATTTTTACAAAGCAGGGGTTAAAACCAGCTGCAATTTCATTATTTAAAACACAGACCTCGGTCACATTCGTACCACTGTGGAAGTCACTGGTATTAACTATGATCTTATTTCATTTAAAGTACTGGAACAACTTACCAGAATTTCCTAAAATCCCCATAATCTGGCCACTCTCTATGTGAAATGAAACATCCTTAAGTATTTGCCGGGTCCATTTTTTATGATATAATGAAACATTCCACCACGGGCCAACACGTTCTCTTGGAAAACAAACATCAAAAAAACATACAATAGAGAAGATCTAAAAATTTTGCATAAACAAGTGAATAGTTTATAGCTACTTGCATGTGGGATGGGAGCCTGCAAGGATTTTAAAATGGGGGTGGGGGTGGGGGGGAATCTTTCCCCACTGCCCCCCACAAGATAAAACTTTTTAACTTCAGCATTATCTGTCTGAACAGATTTTTCAGAATGACTGCTACTGGACTACAACCAAAAGGGGAAACTTGAACTGAGGCTTTATTTGTTGACGATGTTTGCCAGCCATTAATCCACCTGACTGTTTTCTTAGGGCCTCACGTTATCCTTCCGGCAGCAGTAAGAAAGGCAGTGGGAAAGGGCACAATCTTTGGAAATCTCCTATAAGGCACCTCCTTCAGAGACATGTGAAGAAGAACTGGTGAAGCCTCCGGAGGACAGACCGGCTCTGCCTCCCTCAAGCCGTGTACTCTACTCCTGCGGCAGGCAGCCCAGCACCATGAGGCGGGCGGCCTAGCAACACCCCTCCTTCCTTCTTTACCGGGCTGGAGCCAAACTCACAGCCCACCGGTCCCAGCCCCTCTCCCCTCAGTCCCTGGGGTCAGAGCAGCTCCTGGCGGGCAGGGGCTTGCCATGCCGCCTTCCCAGCCCTACCTGACGGTGTAGGAGACGCCCCGGACACTGATGCTGTCGGAGAGCTGTGCCATGGCCTTCGCCTCGCCTGTCTGCCCGCCGCTGCTGCTCCTCTCGAGGGCGGGAGACCCTCTGCCCAACATCCTCCGGTGCTGGGGCCCCGCAGGCTCCCTCCCTCACGCTGCTGGCCAGGTGCCCAACGCTGCCACCACCATGCCTCCCCCGGCACCGGGCAGGGGCAGCTCCCCGCTGTCCCCGGGGCGGAGCAGA